ACCTGTTTGGAACATGAACCACAGAGAAAATATTGGTCTTGTCTCATTTTCAAGGTCATCTCTCCTCCCAATTCATGGGAATTTTTGTTAATGGCTTTAATGAGAAATATCAGATCCTTATTTAATGGGGATTTCTGCATTTGTGAAATACATACTGAAAGTGTTCCTGCAGTCAGTAAGGGTTCTTAGAACCATACTTTGAGTGGTAGAGGAGGAGGAAGGAAGTTTTCTGCCATACGTGCAGGAATATTTCTCAATAGAGGAGTTTCCCCACCCACATTGCCAGCATGAGAGTCTCTTCAGAGGATGTCAGCTTGGGTCTCTACCACACGTGTGCTTCTGCTCCCTGCTGATGGGAAAGGGAGATACTCAAGCGTGTTTAATACACCCTGTAGTACTTGCTGCTCTTGTCCTATTAACCTTCGTTACTGCAGCACTTTCAGGCCCCAGGCATAAAGAGGAACCCAGCTGTGCCACGTTTGCTCTGAAAGCAGAAGGAAAAAGTAATCCTTCTCTGAGGAGGTTGTAGCTGAGGATGTCTCTTTCAAGCATACAGCGGGGAGCTTGAGATTTTGGACTAGGAGTATGTGGAGGGATAGCCGACACTAGCACACAATCTTCTATTGCCTAGTTTAATACCTGGGATCAAAGTGTCCACAACACTTTTAGGATGACCTGAGTGTGAAATGTCTGCCGGTAGTCTGGACTCGAGGATGCTTGGCCATGCCCTGGCTGCTACATTAGGGTGCTCCAAGGAGAGCCTGCTCTGGAGCTGGTGCTGTGCAAGAAATGACCGAGTAGGATGAGATTCTTAAGTGGGGGAGGCAGAGAGAGACTGGCATGGAGAGCGTAGGTGGGGATCAACTATTCACCATCTGCTGAGTTTGTCAGAGCTGGTTGAGAAGAAGGTAGAGAATGGGAAGAAAGTGCTTGAGATCATCAACTGAAAAGAGGACAAATCCTTGATTCTCAGGCAAAACTCTCCTGAAATCTGCTCAGGTGGGGCCTGAGCAAGCAGGGTGGGGCTGCTTGTCCTGTCTTTGGGACTTTGTGGCTAGGCCCATTCAGGATCTGCTCTGGAGTTACTGAATGGCACCACTTTTTGGCAGCTACCCTGTGAAGGGTGCTAATTCTTAGCAGC